TCATCGTTATATCAATTATTCATTCCTGGTAAGTACAATTTATTACTCATTATTGTAGTACATATTGTACAAGAGAAACAAAAACTTTTTTTTTTTAATTTAATTACCTTATTTGTCATATAATTGCCAAATAATTTACGCACTTTTGCATATTAGTTTGAAAATATTTATAGACATTTGAAACTATAGTTGAATCATAAAACATAATGTGAATAAATAACCGAATGTATACGTTATACAGTCAGGCAATACCAATCATGTAATTTAATTTTAGGCCTCACGTTGGTTTACTTCTAAAGTTGTATGTAGTATATCATATTAACTATATGGTAAAATATTTGTAAGTTATTTAAATGTATTGAAAACTAAAGTAATGATTATGCAACGATCGAATAAAATAAAAAAAGAAATAAATATATAGAGTTTTGTAATATTATTATGTTTGTGTGTACACTATAATTATGAAACCGATTTCAATTTATTTTTAATCACATTATGAAATTAATATGAACGGTTTTTTTTTTTTTTTTTTTTTTTACCAGGCATTAAATGATACGTTTGTTATAAAATGAATCCACAAAAGTGGCGCCTGCGTATTTTAATCGTCGTAGATATTGTCAATGTAGTTTCTTTGCTAATAACTGGATACATACTAAAACGAAAGAAAACTGAAGGAGATTTTTTCATCATTCAAAACGAAGCTCTTCGTAAAGAACTCTATAACTTACAGCAGATCAATCTCAATTTAAATGTTCAGCTGTCAAATATAAAAACAATGTATATATTCCATCAATACAGAATATTACAAAAATCACGACATTTTTTTATTATTAAATCCACATTTTTGAACACCTCGTACAAATTAAGATTTTGATAGTATCGTGATAATATTTAAAGGGATGTTACATTTTTTGTGATTCCAATGAATATTCAAAACTATAAACTATTAAGTTATTTAATTTCCCTAAATTTCTAATTCCCTTATTATATGTATACTAGTAACAGGTTTTCAGTGTTTTTCAAAGAATTAGGGGTTTGAAAACTATATCTTTCTCATAAACAAAAAACTTTTAAACTATAAGTTATGTTTCATTTGAAGCTATAATAAATATTTAGTTAGAAAAAAAATTTATTCTCAAAGCCATCATCCAGACTACTTATTTTGACTTTTTAAGTATAAATATTATCTCTTAGACAACTAATTATATGTTATTATTTTTTGTTTGTAGGGTTGAACTTCAAACACATAAGGTAAATATATATACTCATATATTTAACAGTTTAATTTAATTTTAAAAGTTTTCACAAAATAATTACATTTTAAATTATATAGCTTTTTAAGTAAATATCATTAACAGTATGCCATACTTATAAGTTCCAAAATATGTTTTCCTACAAGCTTGCTTTTAGCAAGAGATTGGAGGGTATGTTTTTTTTTCGACTTTTTTTATAGTATTTCTAATTGCTAAAATATTATTTGAAGCATCACAATCTAGTGTAACATTTATTTCACACTCGTCAAGTAAAATGTACAATGTAAATGTAATGCACTGTTTTTCTGTCACAAGGATTTGATTGTTATAATAATATTATAATCAAAATCGTGGTATATTTTGTGTGAATTTTTAATTTAAACAGAATTGGTTGATATGAAATATTTTTTACTGTGGTTTAACTCGATTAATTTTCAATGACAACCAAACCAGGAACAATGCGTTTTACTCGTTTATTTTGTGTGTGAGACGTATCCGCGTCCCAAGTATCTGTGGATACTCAACGATGACGAGTGTGATGTCCATCGTGATTTTATAGACAATTTTACATAATATACTTTAACTGCTTGGTAATCAAGCGCATCAATAGGTATTTATTTTTTGGAAGGAAAGATGATTAACTTTCTTAAAAATTATTGGGGCTTAAATAATGTGCAATTAAGTGGTATACACCGTATATCTTAGTTTTTGATTACTATAATACGGTATTTGAGGAGGGGATGCTCCTATGCCTCGTAAATTAAATCCTGTTTGGAATATGGATACTGAAAATAATGGAATATAAAATACTGCAATTTATGAGGTATTTCACTGTTCAGGTCCCGGTGGAAAACAGGAAACGAGCTCCGCAAAAAGACTATAAATATTTAGACGCCGTATATTCTCGAATACCGTGGAACATTGGAATTGTATCGATTCCTCGTTAAAGTTGCTGAGATTAATTATTAGTGATGGGATCGAAAGAGACGTCATCGAATGATGTAAGAGTAGAGTGGAAACAACAGTTGACGAACATTATCTATCGCTGACGATAGATATTTTTCAATTGGACAAAGTCAACGGTCATTCGTCTTGAAGAACGCGCGAGTCCGAAGAACTGGGCGATTTGGTTCAAAAAAAATTCGAACAGTTGCAAAATCCGTCGGATTGCGACGAAGCGAAAAGCTCATTTGCACAGTGAACAGCGTACGTTTCTTATGTTGATAACGATAAAATAGAACGCACTAAGTGTTTCTTATGCTACGACTACATTGGATCCGTTTTCGATCCGAACCGAATCGATTCGACCCGACCAACATCCTACTCGTCCAATATTTGTGGCTACATCATATCCGATTTTTTACCGACTAAAATCAAATATTATGTTGTCATCAGGTTATCTGCCGCGACTTTTATTTTATTTGCACATACCTTCTCTTACAGTTAACACGTGTTTTGGTGCTGTTTTATTTTATAATTTTTATTCAATATGTTTTCAAATTCCAGCAGTTCAGGCTCGAAAGACGAATGGGATGATTTATTGGTTACTAATTATAATTTGTACTTAAATACTCCAAGGTCTTGCTGGGTGTATCGTATTCCATTATTAAATTTAAATGTATTAAATTAAGTAATTTTACTTTTAATATTACAATTTTAATTTCAATTAATTTAGTTTAATAAATTTATCGAACATACTTCAAAGACACTTCACAAATTATGTGTGGGTACATGCCATGACCTGTGCACACTCACGAACAATAAAAACAATAAATATAGTAATAATCAATTTTAAAAATAATTTTGATTATTAATTTAATTTAACAATACATCAAAAATAACTTTATTTTTTCCGACTCGTCGGATGAAAAACAAATCAATTTATATTAAAACCGATGTATCCGACTAGTCGGACTATCGAATCGGATCGAAAACGGATCCAATGTAGCCGTAGCCTTACGTTGTATACTGATTGAGTCCCTACACTGAATGGAAAAAAAAATAATACACTAATTGAGTGCCGAGTACAAACGGGACGAATACTTATTGAGTTCGGGGTCAAGAAACAAATAGTATACGAATTGAGTCCGAGGGTTTTTTTGAGTAAAATATAAAATCAACCGTCCAGGGTCCATACATAGCGGAAATTATCCCTCGTGGCATTAAATTATGTTATTGCCACACATATGCCTTATTAATGTGGATCTCGTTTACATAATCATTGGCAAGGACTACCAATAGTAGTGAATACTCTTGTTCGAAAATCAATGCTATGTCTTATTCAGCCCATTCAAATATTTTTAAACTCAAATTATTAATTGCTCGTAACAAAATATGATTTTTAATATACTCTGTAAACATGGCTTGATTTTAAATATAAAACATTTCCTAATAATTTTTCCATAATTCAAATGATTTTTTTTATTATTTATATCGCCTAAAAATCTGAACTCTATTAATAATATCATAAATAAAAAAAACGGTTTCGTATTAAAACGTAATAGGTTTTCATTTTTGTTCTAAACAGCTTTGTGGATACACTTGTAGATTACATCACGTCGTCAATTGTTTCGTCGTCGCACTTGTCACCAACAGTACGTTAGTTTTGGACAATTTTATTTTTTTGAAGTTTACGGCCGGTGGCTGGAAAAGTATCTATCGACCGTTAAGTGATAAGTATCATCCAAACGATTTCAAATCGAATGGCAAATATCCCGGTAAAAGTCAATACGAGTTTTTTACTATTGTTTTATTGAAACCTTATACTCCTAAGACTAATGACTATTAATGAGTTAAAAATTAATTAACTTAACTATTAAAGTTAAATTACTTCTGATTGGGATTCTTACGTGCTTATTTATTTTAAGTAACTTTTAACTGAAAGAGTAATTTTTTTCCGTGATACATAGTTAATAATCAAATTACTCAATTTATTGGCACGTTAAGTTGATTTTTTTTCTAATTAAAATTCGATAGATAAAAAATATAAAAATATTTATTTGATATACATTTTATATTATTGTTTTTTATAGAAATAGTCGAAATTATTTTTACTATGGAAATGTTGAAAGCACTATTCTTGAATTTCAAAGGAGATCAAAATAACGTTTCTACATTAAGCATTTTATAAATATCATATTATTATTCGGTTAAAAATAAAGTAATTTATTTTCAACTGAGTTAAGTTATTTATTTATTTTTTAATTTAATAAAAAAGTAACTTTTAACTTTTAACTCAACTTTACATAAAGCGGTAAAAAAAATTAGTTAACTTACTTACATTTCTCCCAAGTCTAAAATAAAAAGAAAAAATTATTGCACTAAATATATCTATGTGATTCGTTTTTTATAGATGATGCAAAATCCAAAGTTATTAGTCTTTTCGTGCAAGACTTAATTCCACGTAGATTGCTTCACTTCCCCTACGAAATACCTAAAGATATAGCTCCGAGATTGGACGTGTTACACGGATTACTTTTAGTTTGGTGGGTAGGCCAGTTGTTGAAATTTATACTTCGACCACAGCCATCAATCAATGATACATTCAACGAATACGCCAAAAGAGTGAAATTTCAAATTCCGATTGTCGGGTAAACGATTTGTTTTATTTGTATAACATTTTTTTTCACAAAAATTATAAGTATATTATAGATTTATGTGTACATTTGTTGTTTGAGTAATTTTTCATTTTTTTATCTTACATCATGTTATTTTTGAGATAACTGATTAAATTATTTTTTAGTTGTTTTAACTTCGCTAAGAATTTATTTTTGAATGCGATGACGGATAATATTTATTTCAAATTACTTACATACTTACATGAAAGGACCGGCGAACGAGACCATAACCATATCGTAATTCACGATTTACTTATTCTAACATTCTTATATGATATTATATAAAGTACAGATTAGACGAACGGATAAGATAGCGGAAGCTAACTACTATCTACTCGACGAATACATGATTCATGTCGAACGATATTATCAAAAAGGAGAGTGGTCTAATGGTGAAGTCGCAAAAAAAAGAATTTACTTGGCAATCGATGATCCTGAGATATTTGCTGAAGCTTTTATCAAGTGAGTATTATTATTGTTACTATCATGTGGACTGGACTTTTAACGTGATCAATGTTTGTTTACAATTTTCATGCTCTAGGTATCCGGATTAGGAAATAATCGTGATCCAAAAGTGTCTAAAACCGCAACCGTTATGACGCTAACATAGGCATTATCGGCATTACCATCGATGTCCATTTCTTATCGATTTGCGATCATATTGTATGTACATTTACATCAAACGTAAGTGATTTTCACAATAAACTATGTCGGAAATTCAGTAAAATAAACGTTAACAACCTATTCGGATCCCCGATCGGACTACCGTTTGTTCGAACTATCCACATCGAGGTGGATCCAAAACGACTGCGCGTGCCGAAATCGGCACACAGACTTAGACCGAAATCGATTATTCGACAATTTGATCTTTGATAAGCAATGGTAAATGTGGTAATATCCTGCGCACATAATTTCCAGGTGTGCCAGATGGCATTCGAGATGATGAAAAGTTTGCGCGGAGACGCATCGACCCGCTGCAGCACTTTAGACAGCTTCTACAACTTTGCGTCTTTCAGTCTTATGTTAAACGAAGCGGTAATGTCTCACGAAACGGACAACAGTAAGAATATCGAACTGCTGACTGGTGACGTTGTTTTGCCGGCTGAAAATTATTGGAACGGTTCTACAATCGGAGTAAATTCAAGAACACGAGCCAGAGGTCAATATCCTTCGTTTAAGATGCCCGCGACGTCTGCACTTAGTCGACAAATATTATACTACTTTTATATTGTTTAAGGTTTCTCCAAAAATCGATACGGCCAATTTCACTCTTGTCTGTGCAACGTGAAATCGTATTCAGTGAGTAACAGAACCAAATAATTTTGAAATAATTATTTGACAGTCGAACGTTGCACGATTTTCTACCATAATAATGTTATATATCAGTATACCAACGCACTAAATTAATTAAGAACAATATTAAACGTGGTCTATATGTCTAAACAGGTATATGGTATAATGCTATGTGGCGCAAAACCTAACCGAAATCAGCATCAAAACAGTACCTACATGTGTTTATAAACCGACAGTGTAATAGTTTAGATTCAGTGAAGTATCGATTTAATTAAAACCACGTTCACCGAAACATAAAATAATATTTTATTATTAATAATAATTATAAATATATATTTACAGCGTTGCTGACATTTACAGAATTATTTGTACATTAAATGCTTAGTTTATCATCAAGAATAAAATCCTTGCTTCGATAGATGAAAGTCTCTAAAAAAAAGAAACCAAAACTAATGTAATAAAATAATATAACTTATTAACTAATAATAATGATAACAGGATTATTAATAAATACAAATATGTGAATTTTTGGTTTCTATACTATTGACAAAATGTTTATACAAAAGCAGTTTACCATTTAATGTTATCAGATAGATTTGAAAAGATTGAATATAAATTCCCACACGAGGTATAGCAACAATACATATACCAATTCCTATACGAAAAATATAAATCAAATTCAATATTAAACGTAAAACTGTGGTAAAACTTTATTTTTGTGTTTCATAAAAAGTTTTATTATCAATTTATCAATTTTTAATTGAATATAAAATATAAAATTTGAATATTGTATACATGGGTGTGTAAAATAATCATAATAATACATTATCTGTTTGTACAGTTGAATAAGCATTTTCATATGAATTATTAACGTAAACGAATACGACATTTCCACACATGACTTTTTACGTGATCATAATTAATTATCGACAATTTATCAATGCGATGTAGTTATTATAATATTCAAGTACAGTATGTAAGTATCATAATTTTATACACCTTCACGCGTAAATCAATGAAAACTATTAAATACAACATAACAAATTATACGTTAAAAAAACATAATCATGCAAATATGAATACACACAATAAAAGTGTATCACGTAAAGCAGAAGATAATTCATGATCTCCTCGGTGTTAAATGGTGCTGTGATAGTAAAACTTCTGCCACAGTGAAAAGTACAATCATCAACTTCAGAATCACTTTGTACAGGTACTACTTATACTTCATTCGCAATTAAATTAAATATATTAAACTTCTTTGAAAGAAAAACTTTTTACGATTATATTTTTATTTAATTTAAAATCATATAATATTCTATGTTTATTTTCACGAATGTATTTCTTATAACTATGAACATGCACCAAAAATGTTACAAAATAAATATATAAAACCACGTAATTGTGTGATTTACATAATGGAAATTTCATAATGATTTTATAAAAGCTATATTAATAATAATACATTATAAAACTCTCTTAAAAATACATCAAATTTGCTGTAATTTAATCATCAATTAATAATTTTTAACAAGTATATTTTACAGTTAATGTATTTTCTCTAAGCGATGAAACTTATTTTCGAATTATTAATACGAAAATCTTAATTCGTAACTACAACCTTAATCTAACTTAAACTACGATAATGAAATAATTTAAACATCTAAATCATTGTAACATTAATGTACTACGTACATCAAGTTTATTGAAATATCATAGTTGACCAATCAATTATCATTCTGTTGACTGATATCGAGATAAATATTAAAAATAATTTATACGATATTTATAATCACATGCGTGACGCGGTCCTGCTCTCTTGTCGAACCAACGTTGTATACCTAGGTGTCAAGAAATTACTGTACACTAATTTACGAACAAATTGTATGCTCAAGTCAGGTTTATCATTTATTCAAGTATGTTTATAGTTTGTTTTGAGTTTGCAAAAAATAAAGTAGGTTAGAGCTAGGTCCATATCACCAGTACGGCCACTTTTGAATAATAATATCAAACCTTGACAGTATTATGTACATTTTTTTGTACAATTTTGTATAATCAAAATAAAATTTTGTATACCCACCCAAAACCCGAGAAAACCCGATTTTTCTGTGGTCATAACAATTTATACTGTGCCTACTACCTATAATAGTCACAATGCTGTACAGTAATATCGTATTACTAAAATAATATGACAATAATTTAATAATGACTTAATAACCCGAGTTTTACTTTCCACCACACTATACCTCTCTATAGTATATGGTGGACTAAACATAAATGAAAATAATTGAAAATAGGAAAACCCCAATTTCTGGTTTGTGCGTGTAGCTTGAATTATTTGACTAGAGTTTTATTTTATACACGGTTATTTCGGAAAATGAAAAATGAATATTGTGTTTGACAGTCGAATAGTGTGATTCAAACTGTGGATACTGTTTATGACATATGCTTCCTTACTTTGCTACCTACTTGAACTTTTTTTTTTATCCTTACTTTTAGGACCACAATTTCAATGAAAAAACTGAGGGTGCTGAAAACCTTCTATCTTTTTCATATTCCTTAATGGTTTTAGATACCCGCAAACCGTACAATTCAACAGTTACTAAAATATTTGGTAAATATATGAATATTTCTAAATTTAAATTGTTCACTTTGATTTTATATTTTCTTTTTATGATCTTTTTTAGATTTTAAATTGGCATGTGGTGGTACTTTAGATAGGTAATTTTTTTAAATCTTAATAGTTTTTCTAGACGTGAGAAAAAAACTGTCCTGAAATGGTAAAAATACGCTGTAAATAAGACTTTCACATTTCAAATTTTATTTATTTAGTCATAATTTCAAAAGTAATGTGGCTATAAACTTGAAACTTTTACCTTATAACAATAATATTTTTTTCGTATTGCGAAATATTTTCGTATTGTATAAAAATTTATATATTTATACAAAAAAACTCAAAAACTATTGTTTTTCTTTACATAATGACATAAACACATTTGGGATGCTAACTTCGAAAATGAGGGCGCTAAGCACACCTAAGCCCCCTACAAATTTAAATACATTTATATACTAATATATCTTTTCCCATATCCTTCAAAACTTTACTTTCTGTATCTGCCATTTTTTTTTTAAAAAAATCATAAATAATTAAATAATTTTATCACCTACTTATTATATTAATAAATTTCAACATGGATTCATCAAAAAAAAGTTTTAAATTAATATTTCAATTCTTTATTAATATAATTAGACACATCATCAATACAAGTACATGATGTGTCAATAAAATATCATGCAAAATACTAAGACATGACTATGTCCGTTGTATATACTTATACAAGGTAGGTACCTATACCACTGCTATCTTATAGATAACAAAAGTTAACAATTATAAATTGTATAATGGTACTTACTACTTAATAGATTAGAATGGTAAAAGGTACTCCGTAGTGCGTAACACTGACCTTATGAGAAAAATGTAATAAACTAAGTACAATATTTTATAGGTAATTGTATCATTATTGAGCTTGGGTGGGTATACAAAATTTTATTTTTGTTGTACAAAATTTTACATAAAAAAGTACAAAATACTGTCAAGGTTTGGTACTATTATTCAAAAGTGGCCATGCTGATGATACGGACCTGTTAGAGCTCTACAAGTAAAATAAATAGAGCACACTTTTTAAAATATGTAATAAAAGTTTAAAATGTTTTATTAATTTTTAATGTACCTAAGTTAATCAACAACTGAATTGACTTTTTCTTACCGATACGTCATATCAACTTATTTTAGTTAAAAAACAAAAATCCATTAACTTGCAACCTAATATTAATTATTGAAAATTAGATACCTAATTATTGTTTAAGAAAAAATCGAACTTATGCTGTCATTAATAACTTATATATGCGCTGTTGGACGGAATTTCAGTCACTGAAAATGAATCAGCTATGCAAGAGGCCGTACCTTGTACTGTTCGTTAAAATCGCTATATTACTCTCGGTGTATATGACGTATCTATTCTGCCTACCATCAAAAAATGAAACGAGTACTATCGATACGGATTTACACAAAGCGAAGAACAAAGCTCTCCGTGAGGAACTCAATGAGCTGTACAAGACCAATGCTCAGCTGAACACTCGACTAATGGATTTGAACAACAGGTATTTCAGTTCGATATCATACATTCGTACCTAATTATTTGAATTCGAAAATTTCGAGTATAGATTTCTCGTTCATCATACAACGCAAGCCATAATATACTTTGTTTTAACTAAATATAGACGTGTATAAAAAAAAATTTGAGGGGGATTTAGGTTGTACATTTTTATACTTATATAATCTATAGACCACTTTTACTCCATAAAAATATATTTAATAATTTCCCTGAATTTAAGAGAGGGTTTGAGCCGCTAAATTTCCCCTTGTGTACGCACTTGACTAAATATAATATTATTTAAACACTAAATAACACACGTTTCGAAAATATAACATTTCAATATGTCTCTTAACAAAACCAAACTCCTAACCCTTAACAAAACTTATTTATCTACTTATGACTGTTAGTATAAATATTGAATAAGGTATTGATTTTACAAAGATGTTCTTATTATAATCTTTATAATCTTTATTGGATGTTTGCTTATACAACTGATATGTATAAATAAAATACATTTTGATTTTGTGTTTTTTTTTTCAGGCTTTCAATCCAACATGAAAATGTACATGCATATGTTTTGTTTGGGAATGGGTCGATGGGCCGATAGTACACGGGGCTGACAACCCATGGGCCGATAAAATATAATATTATAAAATTTTACATTATTCATTATGCTCTTATATTTGTGCACATCGAATTCACTGTATAAGCTAATAGACCTACTATAGCAAAATACAACAAAAACTTGTTAATATTTATTGACTTTGATAATTATTTTATCTTTTGTGTCCTTTACACAATCGCAAAGTCGCAATAACTAAGCACTCAAGGTTATCACCTACAATAATAATTATTATTTTCTATGACAGGTTTAAAACTATTTTCTTCATTTTTTAATAAATATTTTATTCAACGTTTTTAAATAATACATTTTTAAATAAACTTTTTAATGATTGAGTATACACAGTATACTTCTAACACAGTGAATTGAATAAGCAAAGATATATGAACATAGTGAATATAGTAAATAATGTAAAATAGTAAAAATATTAAAAATTATATTTTTTCGACCCCATAGACTGTCGGCCCCATGTCCGCCTGATGGTTGTCGGCCCAATGCCGCGATACCGTTTTGTTTATACAACTTAATTTGAGTTGTGAACAGTAATAAATATTTACCTTGATTTCTACCATCTCATAACACAAAACAAAATAATTAGTGCTTATATAACACATCAATTCTTACGTTTTGGTTATTTTTTACTTCCAAATATTTTTATTTTTAATTATATATATACTTTTTTTAATTATTTAGTATATAATTTAAATGTTTTGATTTTATCGATCACTTAAATATCTAAATAATCTAATTCTTAAAACTTAATATAATATGTGGTCAGCGCATCTTGATTATTGTTTTATAGGAACAGAATATTTAAAAATCATAATCATAATAACAATAAAAATCAGCAATGAATAATATTACATTAGTATTTTATTCGCAGAAGTCCAGTAGGAATGCGTCTAACGCCCCGACAAAAGAATATGAACATTTACGTCGTCGTATATTTTTGAACACTCAAGAGTTTTGGTATCGCATCTATAAAACATTTTCATTCCAAATGAGGAAATCTAATGATAATGTTAAAGATCAGATTTCCAAAATGATAAATATGTTCAGAGAACATTATACCGCGTTACTAAGAGATGTTTCTAATTTGGCCGAAGTCGATGGTCATTCGAAGTGGAGAATACAAGAGTCCAGAGAACTGAGTGATTTAGTTCAAAACGATATAAAACAAAGTCAAAATCCACTCAATTGTGATAATGCAAGAAAACTCGTTTGTCGATTATTCAAATATGTAAGTTTGACATTGACCGTGGGTACATCTAACTAAATATAATAATAGTTTTGACCAATATACGGAACAATATTTCAAACTTAAAATCATACTGCAGTTGTTAATACATTTTCTGATATCACTGTAATTTAAATACATATTTACAGGATTGTGGATACAGTTGTCGACTACATCATGTTGTCGAATGTTTAATTTTCGCTTTTATCACTAAAAGGACACTATTTTTGAATAAGTCGAACGGTTCGTTCTCTGAGAGAGAATATGAAAATCTATTCTTGCCATTGAGCGACAAGTGCCGTTTAGAAGATGGTTATAAACTTTCCATTTGCAGTGGTAACCGCATATTCTTTACCATGTGACATAACTATTACAACAGTAATCGTGAATTCATCTTATACATTTTAGGTAATTCAAGTGCTCGAGTAGTGTATATAAATGCCTTAAAACTACACAATAAAAATAGTCCTTACCTGCCATTTGAAATTCCAGTAGAGTTGGCTCCAAGACTGAATGTGTTGCACGGAGATCCTGTTGTGTGGTGGGTGGGTCAGTTTCTCAAGTATATTTTCAGACCGCTGCCGAATCTTAGTTATGCATTCGAAGAATATAAAAATAGAGTGAAATTCCAAAAGCCTATTGTCGGGTATTAAATATATTTATTTCTACTTTTTAATTGCTTCAAAACTTGTAACTTAAGTCATAACGGCTCGACAGTCGGAATCCGAATATTTAAATAATTTTAATCCATCTTAATCAGAGGTTCCCAAACTTCTTATAGTAGGGCCCATTTTGGAAATTATTTCAATTTTGACGACCCACAATAATATCAATGACCTATATTTTTTTAAAAAAAAGTTTATACTATGTATACTATGTAATTTAATTAGTAAATATATAATTTTAATGCGAAGGATGTAATTGTTCCCTATTTTTCATAACCGCATTGATATCTATTTTTTAATTTTGATTGAAAAGAACTTATTGTAAGCTCATCATCAATTAATTTTCTTTTTTAATCGTTGACACAGATATTATCTCTGTTTCTTCAGTTTTCGCAGAACTGAGTCATTGACTTTTTATTTAACCATTTGTCCATAGTAACTGTATGAAGTTCTTGAAAAATAGTAAAATTTAAACTGCGTGCATGTATTTTATTCAATGTACCATGTATTACTGAAAATAATCAATTTATTTGAACGTCATACAGGTACTAATTTGTTTTAAACATATTGCTATATTTTCAATAATCATTAATCTGATTGCATTGTTTTGACACAATTGAGCATAGACATATGAAGAAATATTATTATGTCTATTGGTCGTAGTAAATGTGTAATGGTCACAAATGCAGATAACAGTTTATGATAAAACTAACTAAATAATTAAACATCAATTAAAAGTAATAGAAACGCATGAAAAATATAACGCGATCCACTAAAAATATAATTGTGACCCACTTTTGGGTCGTGACCTACAGTTTGGGAACCTCTGATCTAAATTATTTATTTAATATAATAAAAATAAAATAAAAAATATTCATAAGAAATAAAACTTTCTATGATATATATTAGCGTGAGAATCAGTAAACAAGGTAAATACTTAACACTGAAGTCTCTATGTACACTAAAGTATTTTATATTAATTATATGCCAACACTTGGACGCAGTACATTTAGACAATTGGAGATTTTAAATAATTTCACTACAATTATGATTTCAATACTACGGATAATTTATTATTTCTTAATTTTATTTATAATTCACATTATTTCAGTTTATATTAAAACGTTTACTAATAATGTATGAAATAATAGATACTCTATATAATAATAGATAACTCTAATAATAGATGAAATCATCGTTTGAAGGACGTAAATTGTTGATTTCATTACCGTACTAATACATATATCATATACATTTAAAACGAATTGAACCGACTGAATCGGTCTAACAGAACGGTTAGCCGTTCAATACGTTCATACTCTTACTTCATAATCATACTTTTCAATATTTTTACTATATTTTATAAATAATAATATGTAATAATAATATGCCAAAAAATTAATAAACTACAAATTTATGAATACTCAAAATTTGTATTCACGTACCTTTAATGGAATAAAATGATAAATGTTTCTGTGATCATATGTCCTGTGCTCAAGTGTCATATACTCTGAGGCAGATATATTATCCCGAATACCAGCTGTGTGCATACAATTTAAGAGAGTGCGACAATATTGTTTAGAGTGCAAGTCCGGCGAACCGACAAAATCAATCGAGAAGCTTCGTTTCACGAACTCGATGAATACATGTACCACGTCGAAGAGTACTACAAAATCGAGGAATTCAACGGCAAAGTGCACAAGAAACGGATTTATTTAGCTACTGACGAGCCGTCGGTGTTCTATGAAGCTAAACTCAAGTGATTGCATATATTATAAATATAGCATAAAAATTGACAACATATTTTCGAATAACCGCCACCGTCAAATTGTCTATACATACAGGTATCCGGAATACGAAATCATCGGTGATCCAGAGATACCTAAATCAGCGTCAGTCACCGACCGCGAAAAAGACAATTCAATTATAAACATCAACATTGACATATATTTTTTATCTCTTTGCGACTACTTAGTGTGTACTTTTTCATCGAACGTACGTCAATGTTTAGCTAACACACATTTTTGACCAAACAAAATCAATCTCTTTGTCGATACCTTCGACATCACGATTTAATATGATTAACCGACGACACGTCTAAGCACCTTACAATTTAAATGTTCATATATTTATGTAAATCGCTTAGTATTTAAAATAATTATTTATCGTTATGTACATTTTGATTAGCACACTAAATTTGTCGAAGAAGACTCTACATATAATTAGTGATCAACTTAAATTATTATATAACAGATTTGTCGGATGGCTTATGAGATAATGAACAGTTTGCATCCGGACGCTTCTCTCCGGTACACTTCGGTGGACGAAACATATAATTACGGACATATGATCCGTAGGATAAATTCAGTAGTAATACGTCATGATGCTTATGGATTAGAAGAGATTGGAATAGAAGTGGGTGATGACGTTTTTGATTATGATAACTTGTGGAATGGTTTTTCACGTGGCATCAACTTAAGAACAAATATAACGGGCATATATCCTACGTTCAAGGTAAATATACATTCTCGATATCACACGTAGTATATGTGTAGCAGCTACAAATAAAAAAAAAACTTGAACGCATCATTCGCTCAATCTTAATTTTTATTTTTAGGTTACTCGAAAAGTCGAAACATCGAATTTTAGCAATCATCCATACATGCAAATTGATCAGTGTATATTCAACGATACTTATTCCACGAATTAATAGTACATATGTTAATTGTAATAAAATTACTAATAATATTTCAAAAGAACATATTGTGAGTATGATATTTCATTAGAGAAAATGACGCGATGATGTTAATAACAAATTTCTGTAACTTACTGCACTGGAAATAATTATTATAATAACAATACCATTTTTACAGAATAAATCAGTCAAACCGTTTGAAATTCAAATTATTACATGAAAAGTATTTTGTAATGGTAATTAAAAAATGATTAGAAATGTTTTTTTCAGGCGTGTACTAGCCCACCGGAATACCGGGAAAATCCCGGTAGGCCCTCTCAAAAATTATAAGACCTGAGCCCCTTACCAAATAGATATCTGTAGTTTCAGTAAAATTCAGTAATTTTATTATTTTTAACAATTACAATACAATACTGATGAACAGTCGACTTCTTAATTTAGTACCCAATGGGAAATGAGTAAAACACGCAATTTTTCGAATAATTTAATTGATTTGTTTTTGGTAAATATGTCTATCATCATTATTTCGAATATTAGAATCATTCGATTAGTCCATTTGATTATTCCCATCACTCATAAACTCACTCTATTTTCAAAAAATGCTTCAGTGCTCAGGAGATGATAATTACTATTAGAGATCTTGAGACGGGGAAAGCCCTAGGCAGAGATAGTATACACCCAGCATTTTTACATAACTGCGGACCTAGAGCCTTGCAATAGCTGTCGAATATATACTATGATATCTTTCAATCTGGTTAAATACCAAAAACATGAAAAGAAGCTGATGTAATTGAGATTCAAAAACCTGGCAAATCAGAAGATGATCCAAAGAGCTATCACTCAATCTCACTCCTTTCCGTCATGTCCAAATTAATAAAAAGAATAATTTTAAAGCGCATTGGTCCTATTGTTGAGAAGGCTATTCCATTATTCTAAGCAGACTTTCGACCAAATAGAAGCTGCTCTGACCAAATCCTTGCGATAACATCCTAACTAGAAATAGGATATAATATAAATACCAAAACCTATGCAGCATTTATTGATCTCTCAGCTGCCTATGTGACACTGTCTGGACACATGGCCTTCTATTCAAGCTAGCAAGAATAATTCCCTGTCAATTCCTATTAAGATACTTAGGAAACAGCCTGGGCAACAGAAACTTTAGAGTATTATTGGGTGACAGAGTCAGTAAATCCCTCATACTTAACAATGGCTTGCACAGGGGTCAGTTCTAGCCCCAACACCCTTTAATATCTATACCCACGATCTCCCAAGTACAGTATCTAAGAAATTTGTCTACGCTGATGATATCGATGCCTCAGTTCAATACTACATTAACTCAAATTATGAAACTACTGATTCTAGAATGAAATAAACGACTTCTAGAGGTGAATAATGTAACTAAAAGTTATTGCGTTATAAAATCGAAATTGTCATAATTTTGTAAATAATATCACGTAAATAACTCAATTCTGAATATTTTTGAGTTATTGCTGTCTTGAACTGAGGCGACGATATATGCATAGCAACGCAATGCAAAGAAAGTAATATAATAGAACAAACCCTAGAAGATCTTAATGTACTAAAGAATTACTTTAAAACGTGGTGACTTAAACTAAATCCTTCGAAAACTACAATTTCCTTGTTTCGTCTTAACAACAAAGCGGCTAACCAAGAGTTCACAGTCAACTTCTGTAGCCATCGCATAAAGCACGACAAATTCCCGGTTTACTTGAGTATTATATTAGTATTGGTAATTTATAGTTATAATTATTTACATTTCAATAAAGGTCATACGATAATAATAATTCCCATCACTAGTTGTAACATCACCAGCAAAATCGGTAAAGTTCGGCGGAAGAAAAAACCTGTATCAGCTCGCGAATACAGTAAATTTAAATATATTGCAATTTCTTTAGGCATATTTCCAAATTTTGTTTTTTCCAATAACCTGCTTGATGCATTAACCGTTTTTATAACTAAAAAAAAATCTATCTAACGGTACATTTTTGGGTCATAAATCCATGTATTTCTTAAAAATATCATATAACTTCCCTTTAATAATAAATGATCGTGAGCAATTTGTTTTTGAGTAGAGAAGTTTAATATGTAATATATATTTCACTAATGAATATTACATATATCGTAATAAATAAACAGAGAATGAATAGCCAAAATATACAAAACAATTTTATCTCACCTACCTTTTTACTAAATATTGAATATCAGAAGCTTCGTCAATGAATATTTTATATAGGTTGAAGTTAATTTTGGAATTTTTACATTTAATCGACTCGATTTTTTCTTTAAAAAGACCTATAATTTTAAATAAGTACCAATGTTAATATTATGTTTCATATTTTTCATTTGGTATAAAATATTAAGAATTGTTAACACCATTAGTAAATAATATCAGTGTATCAAGTTCGGTGTACAAATTATTATTAAAATCAAGGACTGGAACCTATTGGGATTTTCGATTCCATTTCCGGTTTAGGTTATTAAATTAATTTCTTAAGGGTTCTAATTTCGATTCCGGTTTTGTAGAAAAAAAATAAGCTTGCTAGAACTGAATAATATCAATTCAAAAAAATAATGGTTATTTTAAGTTATTAGAAAAAAACGTTGATACTAGGCATAAATGTTGTCCTCATACATTTTTTGTGAGTTTACTAAGCCACAAGTTTTTTGAACATAGTAGCTAATTAATACTCTACTTTGAAACATAAAAATAAAATTTATCTACAAAAGTTAAATTTGAATTAATTCATATATTCTTTGTAAAGTGTAAATGTATTTGTTTTACATCGTTTGGGATCACCACTAGTCGATTTGTATGTTTTTAGTTTTTCCCAAACGGAAGTGTTTAGCAAGAAAAAAGCACATTTTCATTCACTGCACTTAGAATCTAAAATATTTACACATCGGATAAAATTTATGAATTCATATTATTATTTATTTTACTTAATACTTAATATTCAATATACTTATTGTAATTTAATAAACTTCAAGAAAAAATAATAATAATAAAATACAAAGATAATCGATTTTTTTTTTACGCTTGATTGATGATATTGTTTCGAACTCAGATCTGTAATTTTTTTTAAATAAAACGTATTAAAAACTTTATTGTATATTTCGTATATTATAAACTTACAACTGTAATCGTTTTTATTTTTTTTTAAATAGTCTGTTTGTACATACATATTATTAACTGAAGTGCGACTTGTTGGTCTAAGTCGAAAAAAATGTATTAATCTTATATCTATATATATATATATTAGGCTCACCAATACACGTGTTCTTATCTGAAACGGGATTAAAGTCCGTGTAAATAAAATACACGTGTATTTGTAAATACCCGTCATTATCCGTGTATCTAAGTACCCGACATTACCCGTGTATTTTATTCTCCATGTTTTTGTATGGTAATAATTGTGATTTCTCTATTATTAAATATTAAATTTCTGGATTTCGAAGACAATGCTAACATGAACAAAATTAATTTCCAACAATAAGGCCCCTTTCACATGACGCTACACGGCCATGGTGGCGCCACCAAAAAGTATAGCCACCAAACACACCACCAGACACGTTATTTTACTATTTTATTTTACAATGTACAACATTCAAACAAACTAATTAAACCAATATTTAGTTCCAAAGTGGAAGTTGAAGAATTAACATGTGTTGCTTATTTGTACAGCTACTACGTCTACTACAGACGTGCAAAGAAAAAAAAACGGGAAGTTTTGGGTACATTCATTAATTGCTGATCGCTCAGCAAAAGGCTTATTCAATTTATTTTACTATGATTTAAGAAAATATGAAGACAATTTTTTTAATTATTTAAGAATGTCGATTAGTTCATTTGATGAACTTTTCGGCATTCTTAAAGATGATTTAACCGACCAACATACCAATATGAGAGACTGTATTTCACCTGTAGAAAAATTGATCGTAACTTTAAGGTAAGTTATATATTGGTATATTTAGTAGTATTCAAAAGCTAGTATTAAATACACGTGTATCAGTAAAAAATACCCGTATATTAAAAACACAGTTATTAATAGATATAATACACGTGTACACGTAACGAGGGTACACGAATACTCTAATAACCGTGTATGACTACGACCCCTAATATATATAAATATATATATATATATATATATATAAATGGATTTCTGTCTATTTTTTGACTTTTATGCATTCCTAACCGGCTGGACCGATTACGACAAAATTTGGTACAGAAATATATCAGACCTATGAGCAGAAGATAGGCTGAGTTTAAAAGTGATAGGCCCCAACCCCGGGAGGTGCTCAGACATTTTGAGATTTACTATGAAAATTTTTATAGATGATTGCTATTAGTTCAATAATAATAATTATTATTATTAATGCCAAAGAAATTACTATCCCTGAATTTGTTATTATTATTTTTTATTATTTGTTTCCATGGCGCGTGCGTTAAGTACTTCAAGCATTTAAACTCATTATATGGGACAAATATACTATAGCGCAAAAAAAAGCAATGGAAGCACTTGATCGTACATTAAGAGATATACTAGGGAGAGCTCTTCAGGGGCTCACTTATTTTATTGTCTGGTAATTTTCGAGAAACTCTATTAGTCAGTGGCGTAACTTGGAAAAAATCTAGGGGAGGTAAAATAATTTATTAACCATGATCAAAATCTTAAGTCCCCTTAGTTATCTTATAATATGTTAAATAATATATTACATTATTTCTTTACTTATGATAATTCAAATATTTGTGCTATTGGATTATGTGGGAAGAGGCAAAATGACCTAACCTACCTTTGGCCCACTCAAAATTATCAGGAGGGGAACTTGCCTCTTTTGCCACTTCCACAATTATGCCACTGCTACCAGTTATATTACGTTCAACACCAGCTGTTGAGTTAAATGCATATCTCAAATCATCAGTTTTATGACAACACGTATATAAATTGAATTTTATGACGAATATGCGTGTACATCTACCAAAACGACGCATCATCCGATGGTTTCGCAAAATAATTGCTGGAAATGGGTAATGGGAAACTAGTTGATTATTACATTACCAACAAATTTCTATAAAATAACAGCAATGGCCAATGAACAATTTTAGCACACACATAATAATGTGGTAATAATGTACAGCAACTAACAAACATTTGACACACAAGTGTGATTCAATAATTTTAATTAAACACGTATAGTTTAGATTTTTCAGTGCGTCGTCTGTTGTTTATGCTTGTTTTCCCCTTCGATCAAGTATTTACACAAGTGGTGTTTCCACTTGTAAATCGAATAATCTTATTTTCATGGCGATTTTACCATCACCTAAAATTATTATTATTTGTTTAAGTTCATCAACGTTCGATTAATTTACCTGAACATACTTTTAATGTGGTACGATTTATGTATGGGATACGCTTAATCGTGTAAAATTTAAAAATATTATTTAACATTTAAATTTAATAAACCTTTATATTTGCTACACTTATAATTCATAATATACTCATATTATTAGGTGAGTTATTGTTTTGCTTCACAGTTTACAATATAATTTTTAAATTTTTAATATAATAACTTTACTCAAGGATATTATACGAGACCATTAATTAGTTATTATTCTCGACACTTCACGGCGTAAGATTTATCTATTACTAATATCACGGAATTACAATAAACAATGCAAAACTGAAAATGATAATTTAAACATAACTATTAATCATTTAAAATTATTAATCACCTCTACAGTGTTTTAATCTAAATGTTGAACTATAAGTTGGATTATAATATACAGTTATTTTGGTACGAATATAATGCTCCGTATTAGGTGGTTTGTCTTGTAGTTGGAAATTAATTGAAGGCATTTAGCATATAAACAGGCAGTACTTTTGAAATTTTATGAACATTTCATTTTTAATATATAATACAAATGACCATAGGATATCGTAGCATTGACTGCTACAAAATAAAAAATTCATTAATTTGAGACTATAAGTTTCGAAAAAATGATTTTAAATTCGAATATCAATACAAATAAACAGTGTATTATCAGTGGAAAAATTCCAAATAAATGTTTGTTTCTTAATTTATTACTTTAATATTATTGTAGTGAGCCGGACTCAAAAAACTGACTCAGTACTTTTAACGACGAAATCCACTTTTGTAGCAACCTTCACGGCAACGGTCCAACGGAGACGAATGGTTTAAGAAAATAAAATGATACTTTAAAACTAAGTTAATAATATATTTTCTTTACTGAGACAAAACAGGAGTAACTGCGTACATACACGTCAACTACTTTACTGGTAAGTTAAATCATGTCTAAATAAGTATTGCCACTACATCCATATTTATACACAGATATTTGGGCGTAGTGCATAAGGTGGTCAAGAATAAGGAAAAGTATGAAGGCTTTTTGTTGTTCCAGATTAATAAAAATAGTATATAATATATAAAAAAATAATATTAATATTCCCAATTTCTTATACTAATAAAATATACCCGTTTAACATATTAACTAATAACCCGTCTTCCAATATAAAAATAGCTTAATAAATAGTTTTTTCGACAACCCCCAAGGAAAATAAATTAAGATAAAGATAAAATAGTGGTTTTGATTATGTCGTAGTGACCTTGATAATTACATTATTATGTTGTAATGAAGAACCATCAATTTCTAATTTTAGATACATACATATTATATTATATGTACATCAAAATCCGTAATCATTGAAGAAATGAGAATAAACAAAAGGCTGCGAACTTTCATTGTTTTAATGATTTTTCTATGGGTAATTTATATGCTGTCTCCAGATTTCAATCACAATGATGAAGTATATTTAAACAAGAAACTTCATGAAGCTATAAATGAACTAAAAAAACTGCATATCGAAAACAAAAATTTAAAGCTAAAAGTGACCAGCTTGCATAAAATGTATTTTTATCTCTGCACCATATTATGCGAACATAGTTTGGAAGATTAATTAAATACGCTAGTCTATATTATAATATTTTACAAAAATTAAAAATTAATTTCTAATGCCTGTTTGATATGTATATTATTATCATTAAAATGATGGCAACCTATGTTTCAGTTAAAAAGTATAGTATCATTTTCATTTTGAAACTCTTTATTACAATATGATTTTATTTCACAAATTATCATACAGAACTGTAAAACAGCTAAACATTTCTAATAATAACAAAATCAAAACATTTTGGCTAGACTGTAATTTGAATTTATTTACGATTATATTATTAATCATTTTTAACATTCCAATCAAATTAAAAATATGGCGTCATTATTTCTTCCAAACAATTCGAAAAAAATAATGTAACAAAACATATTTTACACATATTTATAATAATGATATTGGTTTATATTTTTAGGTTGGAAAAGCACAAAAATAAGGTAACTATAATTTATGATACCTTATTACAACTATAATTTATGATGTAAAAATTAATGGAATTTATATTAAAATTATTTATGTTTAATAATTTGAAACACGCGTTATATTTCAAATACTTTGTTTTGTATTTTGAAACCATTTTCGCCGTATTCTACGAAATTTCTAATGTTTATTAGTTATAAAACTCGTGCATGTAATATAATAATCATTTTCAACACGTTTAAGTCTATGCGACCAAAAGTATTTTTTCCCTCGCTAATAGTCTGGCACAGTGGAGTAGCGATATGGGTAATCGAGAGGCAGTCACCTCTCAGATTTTTGGGGGGTGAATGGGCAAGACCGTATCTAAAAATTTTCTTCGGGAGGGGTTCAAATCATGTATACTGTAATTTTATTGAATTAAGATTTTAACTTTTAATATTTGGTTAAAAATAAGACAAAAAAATATTTAATCTTCTTTTATCAAAATTATTTTCATTTTATATTATGATATAAAATTTAAAGCAGTCAATGATTAATTGGAGCTTAAGTCATTTTTGACTGAAAATATTTATGTTGGTATTAAAAATAAATAAGTATTTTAAACATTCGTAAAATATTGAAGAAATTTAAGGGGCGGGTCCAACACCTTGGACTCCCCCAGGATACGGCCTTGTGGGTAGGTGTCGACAAAATGTATTTGTCTCTAAAAATTGTTGAACTCGCCACGCCACTGGTCTGACATGTACTATTATTGAACACATGTCCCATCAACAAATATATTTCATTCGATACATTATTATTATACCCTTTTGATTATTTTAGCCTCAGATAGATTCAACCATATATCTGCCTATGGTTAATCATTATTTTTAATATTAAGATAACTTTCTTGTTTTTAGTCTATAGCTGAACACAAAAGTATGATATCAGTAAAGTTCTTTTAACGATTGTTATCTGGTCAAGTCGATTCATTAAATTTATCATCCTTGTTAAACTCTAAGGTCCCTGCTCGATAAAGCCGTTCCTTTGTCCCTTTCTCTATCCCTATTCGTTTGAGCAATCGTATGAAATGATTTACGTAAAAATGTATATCACGTTTTGTTAGCTTTTAGGAATCGGTTCAGCTTAAAAACGCGAATATTTTAATTTAAGAGTGTCCGAAAGGGTTCGACCCCGTTTTTAACCGTAAAATAAAATACAAACGATGCGAACCCTGTACAGAACTCTGACGCGAACGCGTGGAAAGGTCCGCGCGAGCAATACGAACTAGTACGACGCCGGATCTACGCCAACACCAAAGAAATTTGGTACTACATCAGCTCCGAGCTGCGATCGTTGAGCCGGGAAGTGACGGACGTGGACCACGTGGACCGGATGAAGAGCATGGTAGACGAGCATTACAGGTCGCTGCTGAACGACGAGGCCAGACTGGCGGACGTTGACGGTCATTCGGCATGGCGGCACCGAGAAAACAAGTACCTGAGCCGTTTGGTTGAGAAACGGCTGGTCCGTTCGCAGAACCCGCCCGACTGCGGTAATGCGAAAAAACTCGTGTGCAACTTCGTCAACGTGAGTCCCGGGTGAAAACAGATATATTTTATCTGCACATATTATTCTTTTATCACATATTATCTTGAATGTGAACCACGGTAGGCGGCACAGGGATAATTTTCTTAGCGGTGGAAACCATTTGCGCCCATCACACCTTTTTTATAACCCATTTGCGCCCGAAACATTTAACAAAAACAAAAAAAAGTGTTGATCCCGTGCAACGTTGCCAAATTGTATTCTGGAATACAAGCAATATAAGCAATTATAAAGTTAAAACTATTGTACATAGTGATGGGCATAATCCAGTGAAAATAATCGAGTTACTCGATTATTGATAATAATCGAGATATGGTGTCCGGCCGCCAAATTGTACATATTATTTACTGGTTTTAACTATTTTTAATTTTTACGTTACACTCTTATCGATATTATCGAATATCGGTCCATTTTATCTTAATTGCACTTCATGACGACTCACTTCTCTCTGTGTATGCGTAGTGCAACTTTACTCAAACTACAAATTTTTAACTAGAGTATTATACGTGAGTTACGAGTATATAAAAATGGATTTTAATATAATAAATACTACTAAAAATCATGAATGTTTAATTTTTCGTAACTTCAAATTCCACAAATTGGTTTCGAGAAATATAAGTTGGTGTTGCGATAAAAAAAATTGTAGTGTGTATGTAAAAACGAATTGTTTAAAGTCAACATTAATCGATATTAAAGACAGTTTTGACTACAGTAAATAAAACTTAGTGTGAATTAATTAAGTGTTGTTCAACTTAGAAATCCTGGATTTAATGTTAGTTATTGCCATATTGATTAATTTTTTTAAACCCAAAATTTTGAAAAAATTATAAAATTTAAACTATATTATTTAGACAATTATTATTTAAATACTATAATTTATATAAGTATATATTTTATATTTTTTATAATTATACTTATCTACTTAATTTAAGTATTTATCAAGATAAAAATAATCTATATTATAAATCACAATGGCAACGTTGTATGCGAAATTGGTGCATATGGGCTATAAATCGGCAGGTAGTACCTTATCTTTCGGGCGCATTTGTCCACATCCCTCGGGGCGCAAATGTACTACTCTGGGGTGCAAATAGGCTACAGCCGTTCTTAAATCCGTTGAAATACGACTGTGATGATTGTTATTCACGCTATTTTCCTATTGGATTTCCCAACCTTGTGTTACCAGTAACTGGTCTAGAAATATTAAATGAGGGCATAGGGTTTATTTGTATTCACAAAAACGCAAAATATATAATTTTAGTAAACACATATGTATATCAGTTATAATATATTTTAAAATGATAAAATATGATAAACTAATAAGTTCAATAGTCTTTCAACCAATTTGCAATTAAATATATGCCTACCTATTAAATATTTATTACATAATTACATAATACATCAAAGGGAGGGGGCTAAAGCCTCTTAACCGCCTCTCGGATCCGTGCCTGACCATTACCATCTGCTGTGCCCCGACCTTTAGTCCTCCTGCATTGCACGTGTCGTGTTATTTTTCAGAGCCATTGGTGCGGATACAGCTGTCGCCTACACCATTTCATCAAATGCCTGATTATCGCGTACGGCACCGAGAGGACGTTGGTCATAGGCAACCCTGCCAGCTGGGAGTTCACCAGCGGTGGTTGGGACACGTTGTTTTTGCCGCCCAGCACATGTGCGTCGGTGGCGGCGAATGAACCAGTTTTAGAATGGCCCGGTAATCCCATACCTTAATAATGACATATCCTCTTTATCCGTCCGTTTCTGCGTCTTACCACAAGAATTTCGTTTCGTTCCGTTATCGCATGATGACCGTTTCCCATCTCTGTTCGTAATGCTAATATTTTCGCGCGATCATTTCCAGGCCTCCGGGACGTGCAAGTCGTCAATCTCACCCTACCCGAACCCCCATACCCCTCGCCCCGCCTCAGACCACGTTTCATCCCGGTGGTGCTGCCCGAAGACTTGGCCCGCAGGATAAACGTCCTGCACGGTGATCCCGCCGTCTGGTGGATAGGGCAATTTTTCAAGTATTTGCTCCGGCCACAACCGGCAACCAGCGATGCGTTTGACGCATACGCCAAACGCGTGCGCTTCCAAAAACCAATCGTCGGGTAATTAATTCCGTCCGTTCATATTATGTTACGGCTATCAAAAATATGTGTGATGCAGAGTGCATATAAGACGGGAGGACAAGATTTTCAGTGAAGCCGCTCTTCATGAACTAGACGAATACATGTACCACGTCGGAGAGTATTACAAAATCAAACAATTAAACGGTGGAGTGGATAAGAAACGTATTTATTTGGCGACGGACGAACCGACATTGTTCGATGAAGCTAAACGAAAGTGAGTTCGATTAATATCGCTTACAGCTCCATGTGTATAGCCGAGTATTTTTATTGGATTTATTATAGTATTATATAGTATTATATAGTATTATTGGATTTCTATGTCTATTATTATTATTAATATATACATTGTACTGCGTAGATATCCCGAGTATGATATTATTGGAGACCCAAGCTTATCTGAATCTGGAAAATTCGCCACCCGCGAAATGAACCATTCAATTCTGAATATTAATATCGACATCCATTTTCTATCGCTTTGCGACTACTTGGTTTGCACGTTTTCGTCGAATGTATGTATACGTACATTATTTATAAACAATTATTATTAAAATATTAATCGTTATCATCTAGTCAGTAATACCTTTTTTTGGATCATATTATATAATATTTCAATATATTTTCAAAATTATAAAAACCGTCTTGTCAAAAATATCAAATAGTGAACAAATTATAATGAAGATAAATTTTAGTAAAAAACTATACTTGAGTAAAAAAATATATCGAGAGGTTTTTCTAACGTTGTGCTATCTACTCGTATATTTTTTTTTTTTTTTGTATTCCATAATATTTAGTCGTTATCATAATTATATATTAATAATATTTATACAACGTTATTTTCCCGATTCGTTGTCAAAAAAAAACATTATTTTATAGCCGCGTTTACTTTTTTCCAAAAAAATAATAAAAACCACGTTTTGAAGTCTTTTAAAATTACAAAATCATTTTGACAGTGAACTATTCAAAACGTATCGAATTCAACGAATGATTATGAGGTTTTATTTCTCGTTCTACACAGGTGTGTCGATTGGCTTATGAATTAATGAATAGTTTACAACCTGATGCATCCGCTCAGTTTAAATCCCTAGACGACACATTTTATTTTAGCGGTCAAATCCATAGACTGAATATTGCGGTCATACCACATAAGCCCAATAGTACTTTGGAGATGGATATACAAGTAGGCGATCAGATTGAAGTCGCTGGTAACCATTGGAATGGTTATTCAAAAGGAACAAATTTAAGAACAAATAAGACTCTTCTTTATCCTACGTTTAAGGTCGGTACATACTCAATTCATATACTACGAATTAAAAAAATATATAGCATAGTCCGCTAATTTGATTTTAATTGTATTTATACAATGACATATAATATTTTACATTAAATGGTTTCAGGTTACTCCGAAAGTCGAAGTTGAACATTTCGCTACTTATCCCGATATAACAGTGAACACTGATGAGCTAGAAGACGAGAACCAATGACATATTATTAAAAATGAATTGCTGTAAACGCGTTCGATAAAATAAAAAATAAATACATCATCAAACATAACAACAACTAAATATAGTATTGAAATGATCTTGTTACCGACCAAAAATCAATATTGAAAAACATTAGCAGTTCGATAAAGGTGGTTTGATTTTTTTTTTTCTAAAACAGCTGCTTCATATCAAAAATGAGTGGGTGTTTGTCGTGCAACAGTAGTCTTAAACAAAATTTAAAATTTGTATGCTTTAATTTTTACATAAGCTATTTCGTGGTTTATAGTATAATTTGCCGCAGAGTGCGCGAGCTAGTGGTAACGTTATCACCACCGCCACCGCTGCTATGAGCGTAGAAAAACTTATTCTGCTGTTGGCTGTCTAACTAAAATTTTAAGAAATCATGTACGTATTGAATAGTAAATTTGACCTAAATGATTTAATGTCTCGCGAGCAGAATTTATACTTTTATATTCAGGATTTACTAATAAAAAACGGTTGTTTTTTTTTTCACGAAAATTACCGAGTGACTTGTGACGCTCGACGGTCAACGATTTCTTGCAGTAACGAAGTTAACGTTTCAATAAGTTTTATTACAGTACGCTGTATAATATTACCGATTTATACAGGATACAACTCGATAAACAAGATTCAATACCATTATTGGTATGTGGCTTGTCTGACAAGAAATTATAACCAATTCTGTACGATTTAAACTGTTCACATTATTCTATTGGTAGATGAAAAGTTTAAGGTTCTTTAACTATCAATAAAAAGTAATTGAATAGTTTTTATTGCCACCAATGAAAAAAAAAACTTTCTGGAAGATTTGGGTGGAAGCGCCCCTGATCCCCCTTCTCTTCGATATGCGCCTGTAATTATGTAATACAATTTTCCTTATTTATAAAATATACTCATAGTCACGTAAAATAATTCTTCGAACATAATACATTTTTAACATTTCAATAATATTTGCAGAATAAATATTTTAATAGTTCATCAATCACGTAAAAGTATTTTTTATTTGTTTTGGTAAAAATTCTACACAGTTTGCGTCAACGTAACTATAGATTTGCAAATTAAATAGAAATTAATTATAAATATTTATTAAAATAATCGTAAATAAAATATCGAATCGTATAATCAGTGTCAAATGTTTACAGTTAGTTCATGAACTATTAAATAAAAATTACTGTATTAATTGATAATAGAATATTATTATTATTATTATTATTATTATTATTATTATTATTATTATTACTATTATGTTTATTCTATATTCAATGGATTACCTACTTATTTTCAGTGTTGGAACTTATCTAGATAGATTTTTTGTCATCTTTCATCTTATCTAAATAAATAACACTAAGTTATTTAATTACTTATCTAAGATAAAATTTTTACTTATCTAGATAATTGTCTATATTCTTGCAAAGATTAGAGTTATTTTTATTCTTGTACGAAGAAGAATCTAGCAAATCTGAGATCATCAAAATCAGACAAGCCGTTCTTGAATTATTAATTCTGTAAATAACCTGACTTTCTTTTAAACATATAGATTTTGTATTCATAATCATGATTCGTGTATTATTAATAAGTAATTATTATTTCTTGGTATGACATTTTGTTTATATTTTCATGTCGGGAATATATTTTTGGTATTTTTAAACTTAATTTCTTATTTTTCCATGGAAGTTCCAAATATAGTAGGTATTTTATTTTAGTATACACATGTAACCTATATGCTGAATAGTCATTACTTCACTCTTGGAACCCGTAGTTGTCAATACTTATAGCAAGGGCGCCCAAACAGTCGATCGCGGACGATTTCAGAGTCGATTATATTAGAATTTATTTTTAGGCCACAAGCACAAAAATTAATTGTGGTGATTAAGAACAAATTGTCGATAAGTTTTATCTGTATAGTTTTTAACTTTTATTCTGGTTTATAAAAAAAATTTCCAAGAAAGTCAATCTTCAAAGGTGATGTATATTTTTAGTAGATCGTGGCCGAAAAAAGTTTGGCCACATCTGATATATATAATATGATAGTATAATTCGATAAATCCTATTTTTGCCAGCCATGTGCCGATCAAACCATTTATATCGGATATTATGAAATGCAAAGAAATGGTAGATACATGTGCAAAATGTATACGAATTCTAATCAATAGCACTGGAATGTTTAAAAAATGATAGGTAGATGATTGTAAGTTATGATAGTAAGGGTTAAATGGTCCACCCATCAACGTAATGGATAATTAACTAAATTCAACTAGGTATTATTAATTTTATTAATATTTATATTATATCTTTTGTTATATTAATAATGTATGAAATATATTAATCTATAAATGTAGGCCATTGCAATTTACTACCATTTACATAACTTTGACAGGTCACTTGCACATGTTTAATGCTGAATAATTGTTTGCGTATCTACCATATTAGCCGAGATACAGGATCTTGATTGGCGTTGAATGAGTTGCAAACGTATAAAAAGGATGTCTATCAATAAGTATATTATGAACGTGAAATAAATGTTATCAAAGAAGTTGGTATAAGGTTAATATAAATGTACGCACATTAGATTGAAATATATTATTTACATCACACACAACTCAATACTTGGACATAGCATATAATGAAAAAAACAGAAAATGAATTAAAATCCATCTAATTTAAAATGTAAAGTAAAATTTATGAATAATTTAACATGGAATAATTCGTATAAATTACCAAATGCATACATAAAATGGCTTTAGATTAATACTTATAAGCATAATGAATTTATTTAAATTTTATTTCATGCTATACTACGAAAGTAAATAATAAAAATAAGCTGTGTTGGGAATAGATAATGCAAAATTTATCTAGATAAAAATGAAAGATAAAAAAAATTAAAATATCTACATAAAGATGAAAGATAATTTCATTTTTATCTAGATAAAAAAAAAAAAATATTTTCAAAAAATGTTATTTTTTGGTCAATATTTCATATTCTAATAATATCTATGAAAACTCAATTATAATCATTATTATCAATAGGTACCAGATATTTAATGTTTATTGTAGTATTGTAGCGTACCATTAAGCAGTATTTATATTTAATGACAGTTAATCACTAAAATGTTACCAAAAAAAAAAAAAAAATGTAAATTTCTCTGTACGTATCAGGATGAATACAGAATACATAAAAAATTATTTTAAGTTAACAATATTGTTTTCCGTATAATATTAATTTGATGATTTTCATTATTCTATAAGTCAGAAGTGACCAAACTTTCTTCGGTCACGATATATTAAAAATAACCTTTGAAGATCCACTTTCTTGGAAAATTTTTTTATAAACCAGAATAAAAGATTAAAACTATACAAATAAAACTTATCGACAATTTGTTCTTAATCACCACGGTTAATATTCGTGCACCTGATATATGTTTCGATAAAGGAGTTCATAATGCATCGGAAACAAGATTTATGCACACAGTGTGGGCTTAAATTTATTTAGTTACAGTAGCTGTAACATTAGTCCACCACGCATCATAATATAATAGAATTATAAAATTTCTTATTTTTGTGGTTATAACTTCATGATTTTTAAGTTTACCGCATTCAAATTAAAACGGAACTACTAGCAAAAGGTCAGTTTTTTTTATCCTAAAATTTAAATTTTTAATATTATTATTACTACTTGAAAATATTTTAGTATAAACTAAATGTCTTATGTTAATGTGTAAATTATATATATATATATGTATATTATAACATTACTAAAGAACGATATTCATTTAAAAGTACATTTTCAGCTCTGTGAATTAATGCCAACTTTGAAAGCTGTGAAAGCAGTGTTGCCCCCACTGTGTAACGAGGTATAATTGGATTTTCAACTATAGGTACAGGAGTATAAACTTTTGCTAGCAGAAAATTGTTAACTGCCACATAAAAACTAATAAAATAATAGTTTTTTTTCTTTTTCGCCATTAGACACAATGTGCCGACCGTAACCCGTAACAGACAAATAATTTTACCATTGCAGTACTCAAAGAATAAAACTATCTCATAAATCATGATATTAAAACTAGTTGAATAAACAAGGACGTTCGTTGTTTCATAACATCCAACGATGTCGCTAGTGTTTCGGAGGACAGCCGATCGTTTTGTAAACAAAGTCGACTCGTAATACCACGATAAATCATAGTAATATCCAGAACTCCCGAAATAAATCACCTGTCGGAAATAAAAAAAAAAAATGTAAAAAAATACGTGCCATACGTGAAAACGATTTATCGGCAGGTGGATTGTGTGAACGAAAACATGTGGCGGTAATCCGTCGCCATCGAATCGCGGACGCATTACATTTTACCTCGTCCGACTGGCCGATGAGAGAACTCGGCGTGGGCTCAGCCGGAGACGAAACCCATACGAATACGAGGTGGTCCGAGATCCAGCTGCAACCCTGTGGCCGGTTATCGTAGCTCGTACACCGTAGCCACCGTAGCTTGGACGAAGCGTGTGCGATTGCGCACTATCGCCGTAGCTTGGCCCCGTCCAGACCAAACCCGACCACGCGATGAATTACCCGCTGCACGTTTTCGCGTTCTTCTTGCTCGTGTGGATCGCGTTCCAGTTTTGGGTGCTGCGAGAACCCGAGAAGGAACGGGACAGCGACAACCTGAGCCGACTGCACCAGAGACTGACCGAAACCGTTCTATTGATGAACAAGGTACGCGCGGACAACGCCGAGCTGGACGTTCAAATAGAGCACTTGAAGTATTTTTTTATTATTTTTATTACAACCCCTAGTGCTAAAAAACAACCACGGGTATTATCACCTTTTTAACCTTAGCACGTGCGCTTGAAACGTTTTCGCGACAATTGTCCCCCCCCCCAGAAAAAAAAAACCGTACGGATTACCGTCACGAAATCGTCAGTGTTTTATACATACAATTGTACCATATTTGGTAGAGAGAGTAGGAGCGTTAAAATTGATTAATTGCACCGGGCGCTAATTATGCAAGGCGCGGAATACTCAAAGGTATAGATTATAATATTTTTTATTCAATTTATATATAAATTACATTAAATTGATAGTAACTCAGTGTTTTTGTTTTAGATTAAGAATACAACAAGTAAAAAGTACTTCCGACAAAATACACATGGTAACTTTTTAACACATAATTATCATTACTTTATAATAACTAGGTAGTTAATCTTAAATTATTCTGTCAAATTTTGATTCTGAATTGAATTAACTTAAAAACCTGAAATCCAAAATACCAATAAGTTATACTCCATATATTCTTTCCTATTTAACTTTAAAATATATTTCTTATTATAATGTTTATTTAGTTAATAGGTACAGCAGACATAATCCTTCAAACAAATTATTATAAAGTGGTTATTGTTAAAATTCTATAAAAAAAAGAAATAGCCATAAGATATTGGAAACTTACTCTAATTTTAGACACCTCATCAAATAAACGATATAGGCTCAAAATTGAATAAATACAAAATTATTTTCACTACCACTTGAACATTTAAAGTTAGGATTAATAATGTAATTAAATATGAATAACACGAAAGATAAAAAAAAATTATCTACAAGTTAAAAAAAACAAATAAATATTTTGAAATCGTGGGAAATATCTACTTTAGAAAGCACCGAGTGTATTGTAAGTACAGAGATATTATAGTAAGATCGTGTGTATAGGACACCTTCAATGCAACTTTAATCGTCCCATCCAAAGAGTATGAACTTCTCCGGCGCCGTATACACTCGAACGTTAAAGAGTTTTCGTATTACGTCAATTCCGAACTCGAATCATTGGACAGAAAAGAGAAAGGCACGGTGAGACGTATTAAAGAGATGAAAAACATGCTCGTCGAACACTTTAGGTCATTGTTAAAAGACATAACCGATTTGGCCGACGTCGACGACCATTCGACCTGGCGAGAACAGGAATCTGAAAACTTGAGCAGACTAATACAAAACCGATTAGATGATCTACAAAATCCGCTAGACTGTTCCATAGCTAAACAGCTAGTTTGTAATTTAAATAAGGTGCGTTCGATTATAAATTTATATTTGCTTACAAGATATACTTATAGTTCGTAATACTATTGCAACATTCGTAATATTAGTTACCTTAATATTGTGTAATATCTATGGTTCAGGTTTATGGATTCAGTTATAAATTTCACCATCTTGTTTACTGTTTCATTGTCGCGTACGAAACCCAAAGAATGTTAGTTCTAACTCCAATGAAATACAATAACGTGTGGCAGAAATTTTTTTTTACCTTAAATGGAACATGTCCATTGGTGATGAATAAATCGATTTCTCAATGGACAGGTACCTATTAATTTTCAACGGGTATAGTTTTTATTTTTACAAATAACATATTCAATAAAACCATGTTCTACAGGAAATCAAACCGATCAAATAGTGCAATTACCCATAATCGATGACGTCCACCCGAAACCTCGTCTTCTTCCTCCGGTGTTACCCGATGACTTTGCTTCGCGGTTAAACGTTTTGCATGGGGATCCTATGGTCTGGTGGATAGGCCAGTTTCTCAAGTTTATTTTCCTACCACAACCAACAATTAGTAATATATTTGATGAGTGTGCTGAGAAAATGAAATTCCAAAACCCAACTGTTGGGTAAAGTTAATATTAAAATATTTATACACGTATGTGTTTAATAGTCACTAAGTACATAGCTTTGTTTCACAAACAATAGTAATCATATGATTTAGAAATTGCAAATGTATTAAAATCAATTAGTTTTAATTGAAACAAAAACAATGTACCTGTGACCCAAGCTTACTATAAACATTCAATTTATAAGTATGCAATTTAATAGAATTAAATATTATGAAAAAATATTTCTATATTTATAAATTTACTCTACATAGAGTACATGTTAGAAGAGCTGACAAAATCAATAAAGATGCTGGCTTCCACGCATTAGAAGAATACATGATTCATGTTGAAGAATACTATAAGCTAAAAGAATTAAGTGGTCAAATTAAAAAGAAACGAATTTATTTAGCTACAGACGAACCAAATTTATTCGCTGAAGCTAAACGCAAGTATGTAAAATCCGATTTTAATCCATTGTCTGCACATAGTAGTAATTTATCGAACCATATAAGGTATCTAGTCGTTAAACGTTTTTAGGTATCCAGAGTATGAAATAATTTGCAACGAAAATATATCTAAAACTGCGTTCAAAAAATACGACTTGAGAAAATCGTTAATTGATTTAATCATTGACATACATTTTTTATCGCTCAGTGACTACCTAGTTTGTACATTTTCCTCGCAAGTAAAATATAATAATAAAAATATACTAGTATTACACTACATACTGAAATTCATTTTAAGTTCAACCTTTGACGTGCTCAGGTGTGTCGAATAGCCTACGCGCTAATGAACAGTCTCCATCCCGACGCATCGGAACGGTACGCTTCGTTAGACGACATTTATTATTTTGGCGGTCAAAGTCATAGGCTGAATGAAGCCGTGTTGCAGCACAATTCCAATAGACCGCAAGAAATTGATCTACAGATAGGAGATCAAATTTTCGTCGACGGCAATCGCTGGAATGGTTATTCGAAAGGGAAAAATTTAAGGACGCATAAAACCGGCCTCTATCCTACGTTCAAAGTATAACACAATATTTTCTACATTTAAAACGCCAATGTTTGTTTACCGAACACTAACAAATTTCAAAATTAATTTTTTTTTTCTAGGCCATTTCAAAAATTGAATCAGCAATTGTTCATGCGTATTCCAACAGTACAGCATAATTATTAGTGGCATTTATAGCTTATACGTTTTACTTATATCTTTATATTTGTGAAACAGTTCATTAATAATATTACAAACGATTACATTCGAATATTGACGTACAATTAAAATAATTAAAATAGTAAAAACTATTATTAAAAAATTATTATGATAGTGTTTTCATTAGTTGCATGTTAGGTAAATTCTTTCTACCGTCATGAAAAAATACCTAATATTCATAAAAATATTGTCGTTTAAATTAAAATTTAATATATTTGCGCTATATTTTTAATTTTTTCATTAATATAAATATTTATAATTTATTAAGTATAAAAGCACAATAAGAAAATTTGATTAATAAACAAGAGAAAAAAGATATGAACACGTGATGGAGGAAGCAACTCATTAGTAGCACCTCTATAAAATATACATATACACACTCATACAAGTACATACATGTATCAATTTATATTTGATATTTTTTTTATTTTTTTTTCTGTATGTTATGACGTCATGTGGCCAATTTCTTTTAAACCTTTGAATTGAATTTCCTGGAACAGTAAGAGAGGACATTGCATGTATATAGGGCATGGCCGTTTTCGAACAAAAACGTACCTTCCCTTTTCGGCCGATTCACTTTTCAACCAATTTTAAAATATGTCGATTCACTTTTCGACCAAATTTAAAATACGCCGATTTCCTTTTCGACTAAAACAAAAATGTATATAATAAATTTAAAATAATAAAATAATGATGTACAATTTGTGTCAATACTTAATTATTAAAATATTAATATAAAAGAGAACGATATTTAGTATCTAGTTCTGATCTCATATAGTAATGAAAATTGTTAGCATTTTTTTTTTTCGAAAAATCGGAATTTTAATTTTAAAACTGTTAGGACTTCGCTCGTTACGCTTGCAAGCTCCAATCACAAACTCGAGTGCCACTGCATGGTACTTTTCGGGGGGGGATGGGGCTTCGCCCTAAGGAGAATTATAGTCTAAGCTTAACCTAATTTTTATACAAACCTTGATACTGTTGCAAATGCGATTACGCTCTGTATGTGAACCTAAAACCTCGCTATATTATAGTAGTTTCCATCATAATCAAATATTGTAAATCATTATTTTATTATTTCAAATTTATTGTACACATTTTTATTTTGGTCGAAAACGAATTCGCCCTGTGTGTGTTTTAAATAATATTATTTTACACTATGGAATACTATATGTAATGGAAAGAAATACTGATGTTCATTTTTTTTTCCAAGTACGTATAATGTTAAAAAATATGTATTCATCGGCGATCATAATATTTTAAACTGTTATTAAATTTGTTATAGTTAAATTAATAATCAATTTTGATACCATATATTAATTATTTTAAAAAAAAAAAAAGGCATAGTACTGAAATCTCAGAAAAGTTGGAACTAAAAAGTTTATATTTTATTTGTGTGGATAAATATACCATACATTGTGTTTATTGTATGTATCCGTAGGTTAGTTAATCTTGAAATTATACTAACCGTAAAAATATTACTATGTCGCGTCACTACTTTTTTTAAAACACCGTGAAATTTGTTAGAACTTTTAAAGAAGAAAAACTGAGTTTTATTGCTATTTTATATTTTTTTAAAGTTTTTAGAACTTAATTGCTTTATATTTATTGCTTAATATCATATGTTTATCCCGTACATATTTTTAGAACTCCAACATCTGCAGTCTGCTTATGATTAACGAGGACAAAGCTAACAACTGTTCGATTATGTTTATAATATATTTTGTTTGTCATTAGTTTTTTCTTCAAATGTTATAAAATTAATTCAACTGTTTCCACTGTAAATATGTCTCTGGAAATATTCGTTTCATTTTTTATCGGACATCCCATTGGCAATATCAATTGACTTTATCTATGTTTGTGGTGAGCATGCACACAAGTAATTTTGATTATTATGATTTTTCGACTTTATCCATAATTGCAAAAAAATATCAATTTAGATAGTAGATCGAGATATTTGCATATATCGTGTGTTTATCTGGTGTACTTAACTGGAACTAATAATTCATTTTTGAAATTTTACCATTAAAACATTAAACTTAAAACTATTAAAATCACACTTAGCTTTTCAAAGTAAAGAAAATAATTATGCGGAAAAGTTAAAATTATCACATATTAATAAATTATACATGTCAGTATATATAACGGCTAAATTAATCCGTACAAAATTGATATGTATGTATATAAACAAATGAAAAAAAAAAAAATCACAAGACATGAAAACTAAGACTGTTTTACACGTAAAAATAATACGCGCGAACACGCACATACTGACTGATCGGTTTTTGTAATTCCGTCGAACACTTGAACTGTATCATAAGAATTTATTTAATTAATATAATTTATACATATGTTGCATAAGAGTAAGTAATTTTATTTTTGGCAATATCGACCGGCAATAATTATTTTATCTATATTATGTGAACGTGAAAATATAAGCTATAAGAAAGCGTTTCCCAAACTCTTGTTTAGGTTGGCCCGGTAATTAATGTTTTTCCTTTTCGTTACCTACTAAAATATTTTACAACTATCGTTGAGTAAAAAAAAACAATATAAAACACATTTGATTGTCCACACGGAATTTTGTAATAAAATTGAAGCGTTGATTTGTTACTATTATACTGCATTTATAGATACAGCGAATGCCATACCATACGGGTTTTTCATGAAGTCTAGTCGATAATCTCAATAATTATTATTTATGTTGTGAATTATAGTTAATATTCGTCTTAATGAATTTATTTTTACTAAAATTTCAAATTATCAAACAAAATGATAAATAACAAATTTAAATGGGAATTTCATTAAATTCTGCGACTCTGTATTATATTTTCGTGGACCGGTAGTGGGTTACAACCCACTATTTGGGAAACGTTACTATAAGGAATAATAAAAATATGCATTAAATATGCAAAAGAAGATAAAAATGTTGAAATATGCAAAGCATGCAAAATACAATTAGTGTTATTAAAATAAAAATAATATAAATCGGAGACAATTTTCAATAGATTTCTAAAAGCTAAATATATAGGTTAGGTTATATATATATATACATTTATATAGTCTCTAATATTTCCTATGTACCTCTTATAAAAAAAACATAATATTTAACTAAATAACGTTTTAAGAATTAAATGTAAAAAAATTCATCTCATTTCTATCTAGATAAATATTGAATTCAGAAATTTTAACAATATCTAGAAAGATATAAAAAATTATCCGATCACAACTCTGCCAATAATATTAACAATCCGAGGCAGTCTATACAATAAAATTAACCTACATCATAAGTATACGAATAACATATTTTATCCGTCATCTAGGATTTATATTCATAAATTTGTGAATTTATAAATTTTCATAACCTAATTGTATCGGATGACTATATAATCATGTATTAAAAATATACAAAATTGTAACGCAAATGTGTATAAAATAAAATTGGAATCATTTTAATAAGTACGATTAAAACCATGTGAATTGATTTTAATCAGATTTCGAACAATACCATATTCCAATAATTTACGTAAAAACCTTGTATTCATTTCACCGAGTACATTTAGTTCGCGGACATATTTCGTCGGACGGCATAGGGAAGGTGGCCTCTGCTATTGGATGCATTCCGTACGGGACGAACGTGATTTGATTGCAATAATTATCGATGGAGATTGAACACGATAGTTGATCGGTTTCGTTTTGTACGCATTACACAACGTTTCTTTAGCGGCCGGTATGACTAGGGTTTCCATGCGTCACGAAAAACCGGAATTGTCACCGGTTTTGGATTTCGTGTCCCGGTGTCCCGAGAAATGTTTTCGAGACGTGCATATATCACGGCTTCTACGTTTAAGGAAATGTAAAATTGTTTAATTTTTAATTTTGACGATTTTATTTACGTCCTCTAGATATAGAGAGGATATAGATATATTTTATTTTCTATATAAAAGTCGTATAAAAAGTATATTACTCAATATGTGTTTGTTTTGTCCCGGTTTCGCCTTATAAATTTATGGAAACACTAGGCGTGACCGAAGTGAAAAACAGTTCGGCGGTTTCCCGACAGCTGGTATGTGTGTGTGTGGGGGGGGGGGAGGGGCATTGTGTACGGTAAATTCCGCCATGGAAAATATCGGAGTAAAAACGGTACATGTAAATTCCGCCCGAAAAAAATGTTCTGATTATATATCTTATCAACTTTGCCACAAAATGGAAATATCAGATAGAAATACTGTACATTGTGTTCGGTACACGTCCTAGAGTCTTATACGCTTATACGCTATAACGGCTAAATTAATCGAATCAGGACGCGGAAATATACTTTTAGTATTAGACAATTTTCAATTTTCCAAAGTACACGTAGGACGTGTTTATTGATCATCAATATTTTCGGGCGGAATTTGCATGCGCCTTACTTATTTTACCTGCAGTTCGTTTTGGGCGGAATTCACGTGCGCCCAGGGAGGGGGGGGGGGGGGTGAAATCAGTGCGCGATCCCGAGGACACGTGTTCGGACGTCACGGGCGCGTGCACACGTTCTCGACGATCGGACGAACGCGTCCGGTCCACCGTCACGGTTATCGTTTATGCGATCTCGTCGACACGTCGCGGCGACGAACAATAACGACGAGTGCCACTCGCGGCGTTTCGACGAGCACAGTCGCGCGCAAACCGACCGCACCGACGCCACTGGCATTAGGTGTGTAACCGTATCACCGTCGTATGAATTCGTCCTCGTATTACGGCCACGAACCTGTCCCGCCGCCACCCTCGATCGTCTTCGGCCCGAAACCGATCCACTCGTCACATTCGTCTGTTGCCGTAAACGGTTGTACGAAAATTATTATCGACCGATCCGCACAGTTACGGCACGGACCGTGGCAGCACGTGACGTCACGGCCAGTCAATGGGTACACGCATGAATCATCGTAAACAAATATATGCACGGTATTGGGAACGTAAACCAAACGTTTTAAAAATATAACCGCGTACGAACGGCCTCCGTACAAGTCGCGATTGAAGATACCACCAGGGCCGGATCTGGGGGGGGGGGGGAAGTCGGGGATTTATCCCCGGGCGTAACATTTTAGAGGGTGTAATTTTCGTGATTATTAACAACTAATTTGATATTTTTAACTTCGTTAAATACTGGTATTAGGTTAAAACTCATTAAGTACGATTGTATATTGATTATAGGAACACAATTTATTTGAGTATTTGTCTATTAGTCTATGGATAGGGCGTAATTTTAACATTTTACCCGGGCGCAAAAATTCCTAGGTTCCATCTCTGGATACCACTGTCTATAGCTGTGGTACAAGTTAAGATATATTCTTAGTCAACGAATTAAACGAATCACGTTTATCTTTTTTTACTCGTTAGAACTATCGAACTTCCAAACTCGGCTAACTATTCGTATCGGCTTTTCGTTAAATCCGTATTCACGTCCTCGCCCATAGGTACCCATATCGCATTGTTAAAACAGTATAATTGCACGGATAACGATTATCGACTAGACATCTTGTACAGTTGTGGAGCGTAAAATCTCTTTAATAGAGCCGCGCCCATAGCAAATAATTGCGTCGGCACTACTGGCAGGACCTTAAGTAAACGTATCGACCAGCAGATATTCGATAAACATTAAATATGCGCGTCTAGAGAACAGTACTGTTTCTCGTCGCCTGTATAAGCCGGATATGTTTGAAAAGCCTGTAGGTTTCACGTAACCGTAAGCGTAATGCACGGATTTACATGTTATTTTTACGTATTTATAAGTACAGGTTTAAATTTATGTCAAATTTATATTTATTTTACGTTTTTAAACACATGAAACGGATAGACGTTTCTAGTATTTAAATATGTTTTATCATAAAATTGCTATGTTCGTTTATATCAACTTGTTTGATTGATATGCAGCGTCACGCGCTGTTATGCGCTATCTAATTTTTTTTCTAATTGCATACTATATGGAGTAGGGTATATTGTAAGGCCCTGTTGAGCATTGTTTGCGATTTCGAGAAAAATATTTGCGCTTTTAGAAGTATATATATATATATATATATATAATGTTGTTGATAATGTTATAATGAGATTATTACGGGTGAGGAGATTGGTGAAATGGTTTGAAAATTATATTTTTAAAAAACCACCGATGCCTTAATTTTGTGGAAATTATGCGTATTTTAGTGAAGTGAATTTTTCATCTACAAGGAGCATGGGCTCTATTAGATAGTGGTAACTAAAGCTCCTGTATTACCGAGCATTGTCAAAAACGTTTAGGTTTACCACAACAAAAGTGCTGTGTAGCCGTTCTAACTGTTGCTGGCATGTCAGTTCCATCTATAAAGGCAAAAACAGTTTTAACTATCAGACGAGTGAGACATGAAACCTCTCAGTTTATTATAGTCAAGGCTTTTGTGATTTCCCAGATAGCCGGTCTCATCCCATCGGAACGAATGACAAAAGCAGAGTGGCCCCACATCAAAGCATCTAGCTGATCCTAAATATAATAAACCAGCACCGATAGATAATTCCGATTATTTTGTACAAAAAATGTATTTAAATTGTATTTGATATTTATACTTTGGGAATGTTCAATGAGCAAATATATCCACAGAGCAATAAGAAAGACTTGGGAAACTATTAGTAGTGAAGTCAAGTAGCGGCTTGAAAAAAATCAAAAATCAAATAAATAAAGCAAACTCGCTTATTGTTTGTTCGTCCAAGAACCACTCATAACCCCGGCACAAACTCAGCAGCTCATTCATTGAGTAGGAAGTTGCTATTTTTGCTGCTACAGTATTATTAACGTTATTTATTTTCGTTTCATTATTGGCATAAGGGAACAAAAATTTTAAATACCTAGGCAGCTCAATTAACCGGGACGTCAGGTGCATCATGGAAATAAGATCCAGCACAAATCGCATAGGCAAAGTCGGCATTTATGAATAACAGAACGTTATTATACTCCAATAGCATGAGTGTTAGGTGAGAAAACGCTTCATAAAAGTATACGTATGGAATGTGGTGCTATACGACTGCAAAACCTGGATACTAAACAAGGCAGAACAACGAATCCACGAAAGCTTTGAAATATAGTGTTGGAGAAGGATACTGCGAGTGATTTGGATACGACACCGTGCCAACAAAAGTGTTCTCAGTGAAATAAATTAACGCAGAGAGATACATAACACCATTAAAGTAAGACGATGAACCATGATTGACCACGAAAACGAACTAATTTATAGAATAATAGTAAGGAAAATTTAAGGTGAAAAATACCAAAGACGTCCAATAAATTAATCTGTCGAACAAATGATCTCCAATGATAGACTATCAAGTATCAAGCTACTCAGAACTGAAGATATTGGTTGGAAACAGGAAACAGTGAAGAGCGCATATCCGACTGCAAAACCAACCGTAAGATTGAACACGAGAAGAAAATATCGTAACAAAATAAATAGTTGTATCACTGGCGTGCGCCGACATTTTTGACAAGTGGTGCATTCCTTAATTTTTACATTGACCCTTTACCTTTTCAAAAACAGGAAAAATTCGGTAATTTTTTTTTAGGATACTATCTACTTCATTGATATATTCTTACAGTCCTCGCACTCCAATACTTGTTATATGCGCAACTAGTTTCAGTTATCCGACTGTTGTTTCAAAACAGTTGTTTTATTGAGAGAACTGTGGAAGCCGGAGGGTCTTATGTTTCACAATAATAAATAATTGGGTACCTGCTTTTATAGAAATCAGTAATGGCGCCGATCGTTATCGGTGTCCAACGATGGACACGAGTAATATTACGTCTTTAATAACTATAACGTATACGTATAATACCGTTCTATTTTTTTATGATGTGTTAAACTGAATAACTTATATAATACATATAATATGGCGTAATTCAACAATATGATGAGATAAATATAAGATATTTCAAATCTACTGAGTACCAACTATTTGTTTTCTATTAACATATATATTAATCAATCTGAATTTTTACTCAAGGTCTATATATACAGTTGCTATAGAAAAAAAATGTAATTTTTGTCATAACTCGACATTTAATATTGTCATTTTTTTTTTATTTCGCGACATTTTGAGAGGGACATCGCTCCCATGGCCCTCCTTGTATCCGCCCCTGACCGTACACCGACTTTTGGGCGGCATTCCAAGAAGATCGTAACGATTGTCGTACAATTGTCATGAATTGTTCATTATAACCGTTCAATCGTCGAACGTCGTCACGGCCCCGGTTTCTGCGCGTGCGCACACCACCGACGCGCACGCGCACGCACTGGGCGGGTCGGAGCGTGATAAGGCTAGTGATGATAACGCGCGCCCGAGGTGATACCGCGCGCATTGGAAACGGTGCTGGACCGGAGAGAAAATAATGCATAACAGTTCACGCACCGACTGCTGCGTTGGCCACCGCCGGGTAATAAGCTTCGGGTATCGCGGCGTGAATCGGGCAACGACGGTCTAGGATCGCGCACACGCCGCGGTCCGCGGAAACCGTTCGTCGATATCCAGCACTCACGGGGCAACCGTGGCCAGTCCGAAGACCTGTTGACACATCGTTCCGGACGGGAGATGGTCGTCGCTTGACGAAACTCGCGTGTCCTGCTCGCCGACATGGTGACCGTCCAGGTAAAACCGGCTCCACCGTCCTCGTTCAACTGGGTGATCCCTTACGGTGTCCACGTTTAAGGCTTCCTCGGGCTAAGACGTTTTTCCCACCTCCGTACATAGGTACCACGTACAGGCATCGTCTCTCTTACGACGTGCCGTGCCGTTCCTGTCGCACGACGTCAGCACCTAAACATTTGTGTCGTTTACAAGTACTTCCCTGTCGTAATTTGAATTGCTCAAATCTCTGTTATTGGTTGCATGTCACGTTTTATCGCTGTATTTTATAATCGGTCTCATTCTGATCAATAGTTTTTGTATGTTGTCTATACATTGTTCATCTTGTATCACATTCCCTGATATGGACTGTTACGCTATGTCTGCGCACAAAATATTTTCATCATTTTATTCTATTCGTGTTGTATTGTTTTTATTTGTGTTTTTTTTCATATTTTATGCTGCATTTTAAATATACAGTGTTATGCTACTGATATTAATTAAGAATTATAATTATTAATTATAAACTTAAAAGTTTATAAGAGGAACGTATACAAGTCAAAAAATAATCATGAAGGATAGTTATGGCCATATGAGGTACAATCAGCACAGACCTACATTGTAATGCTTACGTATGTTTATTTATTCAATTTTTTTCTGGACACTTACTAACAATATCTAAAATCATTTAAATACTTTTACAGAGAAATTATATCTAATTTTACTTGAAAAATAATAAGTATCAAGTATACTGAATAGTTTAATAAACTTACATTTAAAAAATGTAAATCATAATTGTAATAAGTAATAATATGTGTATTTTATATTATCTATTGAGATTTATAAATATATACTTTAATAAAATTTAAATTTGTTTTCAAATGTTAAGTACATAAATTATTACTGCAATTATCTGTAAGAATTCAACTCAATAATTTAGTCATTAGTCAGAACAATCTAATTAAATTAGCATTTATTTTATATAATTTATGGTAGGTACTTATTAAAAAAAAAAAAAAAATTGTTTTTCATTTTCTTCTAACAATTACAATGTTTATTCTAAAAAAATAATTAACATAAAAATGCATAAGTGTTAAATAGAAATGTTCATTATTATTTATAATTATTTTTTCTAGATTCCAATAAATACTCTTTAACTATAATATTGAAAACTGTCCTTAAATTATTTTAATAATTTTAAATATCTTATAGAATCAATAATCATTGGAGGATGAGGCAACAAGGCTGGCTGCGCATCTTAGCGTTTCTAGCATTTTCGTGGGTAGCGTTTTTATTGGTAACTGTTAAACTAGTGCGACAGCAAGATAACACTGATGGAGACTCATCTCAAAGACTGGCCAAGGCAATACGTGAACTTGATAAATTACATAAAAGCAATGCTGAGCTTAGTGCTTTAGTGATGGATTTGAATGACAAGTAATGTGTAACAAATATTTATAAATTATTGAGGTTTGCACAAGTTTTAAAAGAATTTTCACTTTCATTCATTTCAATTCAAATATTAATTAATTTACTGAGATTCAAATTTTATGTTATAATAAAATATCTATTAATAGGTACTAGAAAACAATTAATTTCCATAACAAACATTTTTAATCTAAGTAATAATTGTAATTTTTTTTTTTTTTAGTCCAAGAATAGATAATAAGAAAGTTCTTCTAACTTACATACAAAATTCTAAAGGAGGTGGACTGAATAGTCCATCTGAAGAGTATGAACTTTTACGTCGTCGTATATTTTCTAACACCAAAGAGCTTTGGTACTATGCCAATTCTGAATTACAATCATTGGAAAAAGAGGCTGATAATGGAGATCGTATAGCAAAAATAAGAAAAAATATTGGTGAACATTATATGTCTTTATTAAAAGATGTGACAAATTTAGCTGAAATTGATGGTCATTCACAATGGAGACAACAGGAATCTGAAAATTTAAGTAATTTAGTTCAAAAAAGATTAAAACACTTACAAAATCCATTTGATTGTGCAAAAGCAAGAAAACTAGTTTGTGACCTAAATAAGGTTTGTTATAAAGGTTTTTGTATATTTTTAGTCTTAAAAATTTATCTTGTTTATAGGGTTGTGGATATGGTTGTCAACTGCATCACGTTGTTTATTGTTTTATTGTTGCATATGCTACCGAAAGAACATTAATTTTAAGATCTAAAGGTTGGAGGTATTCTAAAGGAGGATGGCAAGATGTATTCTTACCATTGAGTGATACATGTCTTTTGCCAAATGGTGAAACAACCAATAGGTGGCCAGGTAATTCAAAAATATTATTATTTATTGTTTAAAGTTCTAATCTATTTTATATATTCTATAGGTCATCGGAATACTCAAGTTATTACGTTACCTATAATTGACTCAATCAATCCAAGACCACCTTTTCTTCCTCTTGCATTACCTGAAGATTTGGCTCCTCGGTTAAATATCTTACATGGAGATCCTGTTGTGTGGTGGATAGGCCAGTTTCTGAAATATATGCTCCGGCCTCAACCAGCAACTAGTAACAAATTAAATGAATACGCTAAAAAAGTTAATTTTCAAAAACCAATCGTTGGGTAGTTTAGTTTATATTAATTTTTTCATTATATTCTAAATCATGATTAGTTTAGTATATTTAAAACTAATTTTATTTGTTTAGAGTGCATATTAGAAGAACTGACAAAGTTGGTACAGAAGCTGCATTCCATAAACTAGATGAATATATGATACACGTTGAAGAATATTATAAGTATAAAGAACTAAGCGATAAAGTTGACAAAAAACGAGTTTACTTAGCTACAGATGAACCAAAATTGTTTTCTGAAGCTAAACGCAAGTATGTACAGTGTATTTGCTAATAACTGTTTAAACTATTAATTACTTAACATATTGTTAAGATATCCTGAGTATGAAATTATTGGCGATGAAGATATATCTAAAACAGCATCCATCAGTAAACGCTATTCTGATCAATCACTTAGTGGAATCATTACAGACATCCATTTTTTGTCACTTAGTGACTACTTAGTTTGTACATTTTCATCTCAGGTAATTGATAAAACCGATAAAAATGTAAAATTAAAAATAATAAATGAAATTAGATTAAACTATTATATTTATAGGTTTGTCGAGTGGCTTATGAGATAATGAATAGTCTTCATCCTGATGCATCAACTATGTACACCTCATTAGACGACATATACTACTATGGTGGTCAAAAACGTAGACTTCATACAGCTGTACTACCTCATCGAGCCAATGGTCCACATGAAATAAATTTACAAGTTGGTGATGATATCGCAATTGCCGGTAATCATTGGGATGGTTACTCAAAAGGAACAAATTTAAGAACAAAAGAAAGTGGTCTATACCCTACATTTAAGGTATTTCAAAATAATACAAATGTTTACAAAATATAATATTCAAGGGAATTGAAAACCACGATTTTGTTTTTATCTAATATACGCGTAACATACTAACCTAACCATGCAAGGTAGGTTCTATCCTTCCTGAAATATCAGAAAACATTTTATACAAAAATGACCTGACTTACAAATTTATTAGTTATTTTAAAGTTTCCCATGAGAAATGCAAATAATATATACATATATATATATATATATATATATATATATATAT